TTACAGCTTTTTCTGCGAATAATGCACACTACCACTTTAGGCGAATGGCGATGGGGATGAAAACTAGCCCCTCGACATTCCAGAGACTTATGGATAATGTATTATCTGGAATAATTGGAATTAAATGTCTAGTATATCTTGACGACATAATTATTTATGGGAAAAATTTGATAGATCACAATAATAGGTTAGTAGATGTATTCGAGCGATTACGAACGCATAACTTAAAGATTCAACCAAATAAATGCGAGTTTGTTAAACGGGAATGTATATACTTAGGGCATGTTATATCTGAAACAGGAATAAGACCCGATCCAAAGAAAATCCAAGCTGTTCTTGATTTCCCTGAACCTAAAAATGTAAAACAAATTAAATCATTCCTAGGATTATCTGGATATTATCGGAAGTTCATTGAAAACTACAGTCCAATAGCTAGGCCTATAACGAATTTATTAAAGAAAGATGTACCGTTTATTTGGAATGAAGACTGTGATAGGGCTTTTGGAAAATTAAAACACGCTTTATGTACAGAACCTGTATTGCAATACCCAGATTTCACGAAAGAATTTATATTAACAGATGCTAGTGGGAAGGCGTTAGGAGCCATACTATCTCAGGGGGAAATAGGAAAAGATCTGCCCATAGCTTACGCTTCAAGGACTTTAAGTCCCAGTGAATCTAATTACTCCACAACAGAACTAGAATGTTTGGCTATCGTTTACGGAATTAAGCAATTTAGACCTTATTTATACGGAAGGAAATTTACTATCTTAAGCGATCATAGACCACTAGCTTGGTTATTTAATTTAAAGGATCCTTTATCAAAATTAGCTAGGTGGAGGATACAGTTAGAACAGTACGATTATGTTATTAAATATAAACCGGGAGTACAAAATGGTAACGTAGATGCTTTATCAAGAATGTTCACTATACAAGATATAAAGGAAGAAAGCTATAATAATTTTCTTGTAAAATTCGAAACCACATTGATAACCAATGGAAACGTTAAGGAAGTACATGGAGAATTGTTAGAATCACCATTTGACTATCACATAGTTACTGAAATAGAAAAGTATTATAACTTTAGGGCAGGAACAAATTACGAAATAAAGCAGAAATTCGGGGATACTGTTATCTTGAAATCAAACAAACAAGTAGGCGAAGTGACAAAAGTTAAACACCAGGATAGGTATATAATATTCTTAGTAACCAAAAGTAAAGCTAAACAGATCACTACGTACGAAAATCTATATACAGCTCTATTAAATCTAAAATATTTATGCGAAAAACATTCTCTAAATAAGCTTATAATGAAACAGTTAGGTAGACAGGACGGGTTAGAATGGGAAAAAGTCAGAGCCATGATTAGATACATATTTAGAAACACTCGAATAGAAATATTAATTTGTTCAAAGATGGAATATACAGAGGCAGAAAAGTTGATTATATTCAAACAATTTCATTACTCAATACTTGGAGGTCATGCAGGAATAAACAAAACAGTTAGAAAAATAAAACGTCAGTTTAATTGGCCAGGGCTCAAGTCTGATGTTAAGGATTACATTAAGAAATGTGAGTCCTGCCAAAAGAACAAAGTCACGAATAGGAAAGTTAAACAACCCATGGTTATAACCACCACAAGTTCAAAGCCATTCGAAAAAATATTTCTATACATAGTAGGACCATTAGTAACTACTGTTTCTGGAAATACCTATATTTTAACAATGCAGGACGATTTAACCAAATTTTCATTGGGAGTACCATTACCAAATCACACAGCCAATACTGTCGCTGAAGCTTTTGTGGTACATTTTGTTTGTATCCATGGAATGCCAGAGACCATATTAACTGATCAAGGGACAGATTTTCTAAGTAAAACATTCACAGAAATATGCAAACTTTTAAAAATTAATAAGATAAATACTAGCCCGTATCATCCACAAACCAATGGGGGATTGGAAAGATCACACAGAACTTTAGCCGAATATCTTAGGCATTACGTAGACAAAGATTTAAACACCTGGGATAAATTATTACCTTATGCGCTATTCGTTTATAATTCAACAGAACACTCATCCACAAATTATCAGCCATATACCTTGTTGTATGGAAAAGAAATAAATATTCCAGTAAATTTGAAAAGTAACCCCGAACCTAGATACAATTACGATGATTACCTGTATGATTTGAAACTAAGAATGCAGGAATCTCATAAAATCGCTAGGGAAAGATTAATCAAAAAGAAAATCAAATCAAAGGCTAATTATGATAGTAATGCACATAGTGTAGAGTTGCATGTAAAAGACTATATATTGTTAAGGGATAATACCCAAAGAAATAAATTGACACCGTCATGGAAAGGGCCTTTCGAAATTTTAGAAGTGTTAGACACTGAAAATATTGTTATCCAAAGGGGAAGAAGAAAGGTTACCGTACACAAAAATGACGTGAAAAAGTATCATGAAAATCCAGATTAAGAAATTGTTAAATCATACATATACAAGTATAAAAATCTAATCAGTCATGCCCCTAGTTAACAAAATGAATTATTTTACAGTTTTTACAAAAGTACGTTAGAAGTTTGGTTTGGAGCATGGTTACTCGACCTTTAGTAAAACGGTAACCATGTGACATAAAAATGGAAAATACTCATTTTGTTTTAATAGTAAAATAATATTACTGAAATTGTGCCAGCGCAGTCAATTATTGATTTTTAACAATAATGTAAAGATACATTTAAACACGCACTTATTAAAATATACTGTAATTCCATTGGAGATTATGAAATAATTGTAATCATTAAAAATATATTATATATAACATGTAACTTAACATTAAAATTTTATTGTATCCAATGCTATAGTAAAATAGTATGTTATTGTATTAGTTATTAAGGTATAATGTGTTAACCAAAAATTTTAATTATTATGTTATTATGTTTAAAAATCAGATGAAAAAAAAATAATATATATTGTTATGTAATGAAATTGTTATGTTATGTTGTTAAAAAAAAAAAAAAATATTGTTATGTTTTGTGATGAAAAATTATGTATTGTAAAAGAAATTATGTAAAATGAAAATCATTATGTCATGAAAAGAAATTATGTAAAATTGTCTTTATGACAATTATTAACAATTTATGTACTATGTATTTATATCCATGTCTTATGTAAAATTATTTTAAAGATTTTTGTAGTTCTACAAATTGTAGCCCTACAAAAACCTTTGAAAGGGCGAGGAGGTGTAACGGGCTGTGACTACGTACATATTATAATAGTAATAATATATAAAATATTATATTATATTATGCTGTGTTGAGTATAATGCGCTTATAATATAATATATTATATTCAATAACAAATATAAATGCTGCAAAGGGCACGTAACCCAATAATAGTAATAATATAAACGTCCGGGCGGCCACATCGATAAGAGTATAGAACACGCGCATTATCCATATTCTAGGAAATACGAAAAAGCCGTAAATAACAAAAATAGATAACTTTGAAAACATATAATCCCAATTAACATTATTTCGTAGAGGACGCCGAAATGACGTCAGGTGTACGCAGCTATGTACCATTTTTTATACTAAAAATGCCATAGGAGGGATCTAATAGGAAAACCGACGAAATACGTCGATGGACAAGTGTCCATCAGACGAACACCAGCCAAGACGACGAGCACTAGCAGAACAGCCACAAAGTCAATACTAAGTGACAACCCGTTTACCACTATTTTATAATTTAATTATTTGGTCTTAGAATATTTTCGTGTTAAATAAATACAAATAAACTATCATTATACCATCAACTTGTCATTTTAATTCAAAATACCATCAATATTGAGTTGAAGTGGTTGGTACGTTACAATAATATAATTATTTATTTATTAGAACTCAAATGATTCAACTATACTGATTGCTAATACTGACGAAAATCAGAGGAAAAAATAATAAAAGTACTATAACTTTATAAGCCATTTTGATAACAGGTATTTTGTGATTGTCATCAATGATATTAGTAAATGATAACTGAAAACATATGAAAACCCGATAAACAAAATAAATCGATAATAGTCATTAATACTAGTAACAGTGATGACTGATAATTGTTGATTATTTTGGTATGATAAAGGAAAAAATTATTCATATTTCCAAAAACTAAATAAATTGTAGAAAATTAACGGCAACACTTTTATAAATATTTGAACCGTCAAAATTTTTCTAAAAATCGGGTTTATAAATTGGCTATTTTGAATTTTTCATATACATTTTTTATAAAATTTGAATTTTTTTATTTTCAGAATTAAAAGAGTAAAATTTTTTTTGTTATACAAAACATGTAGCGCAAGCGTCTTCAAATAAAACAAAAAACAAAAAAAAAAAAATATCGAATACCAAAAAAGTTATTCCATATGTCAGTACTGTTTGAGACACCCTGTATAATAGTATATTGTATAATACAATATCGACAAAAAGCACAAAACACAATAGTTACGGAATATATATTTTTATATTTATACTAATATACGTGTAGACTCTGCCGTAGGAAACTGTTGCCTGGAGAAGTTGCTTCTGATGAAGTAATAACAAATCCTTATGACCAATTTAAAATTGAAGTTTATTATGTAGTAATGGATCAAGTAAATACTTCTATTATAAGCAGATATGAAGGAGTTCGAGGTATATTGTCTACTTTGTCATTATTAACTTTTGATCGATTAAAGGCAACTAGCGAGGGAAATTTCCGACTATCATTTCATTGAGCTTAAAAATTGGATTCCTTGTCTAAGTCTTGATAATTTGAAAATGGAATATTCTATATTTGCAAGTAGTTTTATTAAATTGTATAATGGTATGGATATATCCAGAATTCACTCAAATAATGAACCAATTATTGAAAGTGAAAATGAAACTAGTCCTGATTCTGACTCTTCAAATAAATTAGATAATGAAGAAGAAATAAGAAAAAAAACTATCTGCAACAGAGATACTTAAAATGCTTTGTACTTATAATTTAATTGCGGCATTCCCAAACCATTTTTTAGTATATAAATATTTATGCACTATTCCTTCAACTTCTGCTGCAAGTGAAAGATCGTTCTCGAAGGTGAAATTAATTAAAACTCGTCTTAGATCCACTATGATGCAAAATAGACTTGAAAGTCTCATGTTATTGTCATCTGAAAAGGATATAGTTTTAAATGCAGAAGACATTTTGAACAAATATGCTTTTACATCTTCAGTACTACAAAAAGAATTATTGTTTAAATAATAATATAATTGTAATACTAATTTATTTATCTGCATACTTTTTATCATATTATATTTTAAATTATTTGTTATTTATGTATTGCGTGGAAAGCATATACACTTAAATGTTATTAATTAAATGCTTATATTAATGTTTTTTTTTCTACACAAGATGTGTTAAAGAAGGTTTGGTTTAAATATTGTTAAAAATTCTATTTAATTAAAATGTTTACTATTTTGTTAATAGTATTTGAAATGTACTTAAAATGTTTTTATTTTATCCAATGTGTATGTTTTGTACATGGTACTTTTTGCGAGCGAAGCGATCAATTTTGGTATACAACCTTTTTTGAGGGGGGGGGGGGGGGGTGGTTGGATGGAATAAATATATTTGGCTCCTTCAATAAAAATTGTTCACCACGCCACTGTGTCAATGTGCCTATTTTAAATATTTTTAAACTGATGCTATTGTAATAATGCGTGAAGAGCTTTAAATTATATTTTCAAATTTTTTTGCCCAACAAATAAATTTGTATCGACATTTAAAGAAATAATTTAAAATGTTACTTGCTATTGACTTGATGGTGTTTGATTATTTATTGAATTAAACGTTTCTAGGTTATATTAAAATAAATAAATAACATTTAACAACCAAACCGTTTCGAAATTAATTATTTATTTGTATTATGTATTAATTATAAATCAGACTTTGCTACCGATATCGCAAACTAATAAACTATAATACATATCTATTCTATGAACATTTCACTTTTTTTACCATAAAAAATACTGCACTTTTCCACATCATTCCATATTTTCATACGATAATAATTAATCTATAAAATCAGCGTTCTTAGTTCTGATGACATTCATATTTATACATTTTATATTACATAATAACTATGATAATTGAACCAGAAAAAAATTCAGGTGCTCCTGCCCTTTCCCCCCCCCCTGTGTAAGCCCTGGGATATATATAATATATATGTTTAATTGAATTATAGAATAAAGAGCTTAATATAGTGGTTATAAAATCCGTTCCGTTAAGTGTGAAAGCATGGGTTGGTGACGCCAACGGATAAAATTCCGACCCGGGTCAGTCCCGTCACCGTTACGTTGTAGTGTGAATAGACCTATCGTTTAATTATTGTTATATCCGTAGTTCCATTCCAAAATACTATTGTTGGATCCCTATTGTCTATGTGCAGATATCTTTGCAAGTAAACCGTTGACAAGATTGATTCCCCTGGTGGACTACACTTTTGTATAACTGGTCCAACAGTGGTGCAATCACGCTTGCCTTTTCCCCACGGAATACCCGTTTGATTTTTTGCACAATATCCTTAAGGTTGCATCGCCGGAATCTCCTTAACTTATTTTCGTAAGTATAAGAGGACTCCCCTCCAATTTCTTTGTTTGGTATTTTTCTAAACTATTCGAAATTGCACCGGATACCAATAATGTATCGTGTTTACTGGCAGTAAAGACTTCGAAATCCATTATGAAAAAACGGATCTGTGAGCTAAAATAGAATGTATTATTAAAAGGTTAATAACATTATAATTTCCTTATTAATATTATTATATACATAAATGTTTTTATTTCATGGAACTATTCTTCGTTTATCTGTTCGATCGCCACACCTCTTGTAATTAGTTGTTCTGTTAGCAAACCCAATTCTACACAGATAGGTCTGTTGTGGTCCGGTCGTTCAACTACCGCGCGTACGAAATCATTCACATGTACTATAACTAGTATAACTCGTTCTAAGACAAGTGGTCGAAAGGGGTGTGTCATATTTTCATTTGCCCTTCTTATGTGCCTTCTGAAACGGTGTAAAGTCACTGTTTCCCCATGAATGATTTGAGTTTGGTGTGCTGTTATTAATTCTGTTTTAGTTTCCGAAAGAATTCCAATGTTTAATGTCAGTTGAACTGTGCAAAGTAGATGTTGTAAGTTTTTATTCATTTTTTGTATTTTATTTCTACGTGTATGTTTTAAATATTTTGTATTTATTATTTATTTTATTAATATATTACGTATTATTTTGTTTTGTACGTTTTTATATTATGATTTATTTTATGTGGTTATTTATTATTAATTATTTATTTACCAGTATATTACGTATTAATTTTTTTTTTGTACGTTTTATATTATTTTATATTTTATTGTATTTGTTCGAAAAGGTGGTCGGAAAGTTTATTATTTGCCTTAGTTATGTGCTCTATGAAACATTTTGGAAATTGTCATATACTTATGTTGGTTATATCATGGTTTCCATTTATTATTGCTTTTTCTAGTTTCAAAATGAATGTCCAGTTTCTATTCCTAAAATTAAATATAATAATTCTAACTTAAATATAAATATACATTTATTATATAATTTTTCTTAATTGACTTAAACGTCATTATAATATTTTTTTACGTTATTTCTATGTACAGTGATGCCTCGTCGTGTATAACTACATTTTCATTTCCTAGTACTGCTGTGATCTCGTATAGTCCCAGCCAGATTGGATCGAGTTTCGTTTTATGATTATTATCTTTTAAAAGTATTAAATCTTTGACATGTAGTTCTTGTGGATTTTCATCTTTATCATAACGTTCCTTACTTTTTATTTTATTTTTAATTAAATGATCTCTAGTTATTTTATGCGATATTTGCATATTTTCTTTTAGATCGAATATATAATCGTCGTAATTACAACGTGGTTCAGGCTTGGCTTGGCTTGACTTGGCTTGGCCTTCAAGTTAATCGGTACCTCCATTATACGTCCGTAAACTAATGCGTATGGTTGAAAATTAGTAGATGTATGAATGCAAAGTAAAATAAATGATCCCAGTTATTTAAATTCTTATCTACATAATGTCGTAAATACTCGGCTAAAGTCCTATGAGCGCGTTCTACGGGGTTACCCTGCGGTCTAAATGGACTTGTGTTAACCTTTTCTATCTTTACTATTTTACAAACATTTGCAAAAGTTTTCGATAGGAAATTACTTAATTGATCCATAAGTATTGTTTCTGGTATGCCGTGTACATAAACGAAGTGTGTAACAAAGGCTTCCGCGACAGTATTTTCCTTCTGATCAGGAATTGGATCACCTAAAGTATAACGTGTTAAATCGTCCTCCATATATATACTAATAGACAATGTCATCGGCAAAATATCGGCAATTAATGTCATCGGCAAATTGTTTTCCTTACAAAATAATTTTAGATTGATCAAAGATATATACATGTTTTCGTAAGTGACCTTCTGTCGGTCTTTATTTTCGTTACCTAGAACATTACAAACCTGTTTTCCTGTTTGAAATAGGGTGTGTCTCCTATTACTTTACTAGTTGGCAATATTGTACCGTATCCAAATTGTTTTGTCAACTGATAGTTTGTTCCTGTCCTAAAATTATATTGCTTGGCAATTTCTGACACTATATTATATTCTTTTGGTGAATCTATTAGTGTACCTATAGTTTCTTTTACATTACTATTTGTGATAATTTGTGTTCCTAACATTTCGAGAAATTGTTCGTATGATTCGTTTTTTATTTCCTGAATTGAATACATGCGTTTGAGTGCATCTACATTTGAATTTGCGGAACTCCGGGTTTGTAACGTATTTCGTAATCGTATTCTTCTAATTGTATTCTCCATCGAGCTAATTTTGATAATGGATTTTTTAAATTAAAGAGCCATGTTAATGGACGATGGTAGCTGAGTATTATAAACTTCCTAATATGGTCGAAAATACTAATAATAGCGTGAAACGGTGCACACGACGTTGCGGCGACGTACGTCCCCGTGAGTGCAGTTTTTACCGTACGTTCCCGCCACGCCGCAAGTTCACCGGACACGCGTTATCAACCGCAACTCCTGGCAAACAGTACTTTGTCATCAATCGTGTGATACCCACGTGCGTTTTTCACACGCCATAAAATTGATAAAAATTGTGAAAAAAAATCACAAAAATGGCAACAAAAACCATTCAATTTAATATTGATGAGGTAGATATGGATATGTTTATCATTGAAGTTAAACTTCATCCCGAAATATTGAACATAGCTGACAATAATTACCACGATCGAACTAAAAAAAGAGGAGCGTGGATTGAAATTTGTAGTGTTTTGTGAAGGATTCGACGAAAATGATGAACGGGATAAAAATGATATATGTAAGTACTTTTATGTAATTCGTTCTTTATTTTATAATATTTGTTTTATTTAATTTTTAAGAATATTATTAATAATATAGTATTATTTTTATAATCTATATAATATTTTTAATAATATTATTTGAATACATTATTTAATTATACAATAGAAAATATAAAGACAATAGGTACGTAAGTATCTAGTTTACATATAATTTGTTTGCCAAGGCACACTGCCGATATCTGTAACAAAATAATCTGCCAAATTGTTTCTTGCATTGATTGACTGATTAGTAGCTCTCGGAGTAGGTTCTGATGTGTCTTGTTCGATTTCAATGAATCCTTCTACACTCATTGTTTCTTGAATGTTAAATCCATCTCTGGACCGTACGAAATTGTGCAGAACACAACAAGTTTTTACTAGAAGTATGCATAAATCTAAATTTGCATTGATTGGTTTATGGAATATTTTCCATTTATTTGATAATATGCCAAATGCACTTTCAACATATCTTCGAGCATGGGACAGTCTGTAGTTGAAAATCCTTTTTTTATCGGACAAATCTTTACCGCTATAAGGTCGCATTATTTTGGGTGAAAGAGAAAATGCCTCATCTCCGATAAACGTGAAGGGCATTTTTGGATTTTCAGTTCCGAGGAGAGGTTGACTTCCTGGGATATTCAGTGGATTATTTTGGAGCTTCATATTAAAAGGACTATTTTCAAATATTTTACTGTCAGATTCTTTACCAAAAGCCCCTACATCAATATAAATGAATTTGTAATTCGCGTCTACAATTGATAGCAACACAATTGAAAAGAAATTTTTGTAATAGTAGAATAGTGACCCACTGTTTTTTTGGTTTTCTAATTCGTACGTGCTTTACATCTATCGCGCCTAAGCAATTCGGAAAATGGGTATATTTTTGAAAACCTCGAGCAAATTCTTTCCAGCGTTCTTGTGTAAAATCAGGAAAGGTCTCCGAGCGTAAACATTCCCAAATTGCATTGCATACTTTTCTTAAAATCTTACCGGTAGTCGTGTGTCCAATTTTGTACGACAAGTGTAAATCTACCTGATCACAACCGCTGCCTAAATACCTGTAACCAAAGAAAAAACATACATTTATAAAAAAATTGAGAACTTCACACCATGGACCAACTATTTAGGGCGGAAATTTGGAAAGGTTGTATTTAGGGTGATACGGTAAAAAATAAATAAAATTAAAAAAATAAATAAAATTATAAAAAATAATAAAATTTAATAAAAAAATAAAATAAAATAAAATATATGAAATTATAATAAATTATAATTATAATATGAAATTTTAATAAAATAAAAAACACACATCATTGTAAAATCAATACATTCATCGCTCCACTCAGAATCTAAAATAGTATAAAACAATTACTGTATTTTCAGGTACCTCTTGTATAAAAAAAATGGCGAAATGTCAAGGACAACTTTAAAAAAAGTTTAAACAAAACAAAATCTGGACAGGCAGCTGGATCAGGAAGAAAATACATTTATGCCCGACAATTATCGTTCTTACAAACTGCAGGTGCTACTACGGAAACACAATCCAGCTTTGGTAACGACGACATAGAGGAAGAGCTAACCCAGCCAGAGGAACCGGAACAACCTCCTCCCTACAACCTGCAGCGTTCTACGAAAAAACGCAAATTGGATATAGAGACCTCCTTAATTGATTTTATGAACACTCCAATTCCTACTCCAACTGCTCCAGTCATTCAAGAACTTAATCCAAACCGTTCATTTTTCGAAAGTATTCTACCATCTATATCTGATTTTACCGAAGACCAGAAACTAGACTTTCGCTGTGAAGTACTCAATATTATTAAACGTATGAGAAAACCTCCACAGAGTATACCTCAATATCATACATCTGTACCTTTTACTGAAACATAGGATCCATACATCCTACTTTTATGAATTTATAAAAAATGATATATAAATCACTATCACTCAATAGTAAATAATTAAAAAAAGTTATTACATATTGTTATTCTTAATTGTACAAATAAATGTTGACAAACTAAACCAAGTTAATAATACAGTGTAGGTACCTAGCTAATACAGGATAATTATAATAATAATGATAATAATAATACAAGTTAATGTTACAAATTGGTAATAACAGACATATGTAAGATTCTTTACTTTAAAAGCTTAAAGTAACTACTTTCTTTAGTGGTATTGCTTTTAATATATTGCATTCGTGAAAGCCTACCACGTACAATCAAATTCAAATGAACTTAAGTTATCAAACTTAAGTGCTTTAATACAGCTTTCAGCATCATTTTCTGGCTCTGAAAAATAATATTATTTATTTACAATATAGTCTATAAGTATAGGTAATAATTAATAAATAATGATATTTTACTGAAATTTTTTATATGTCTGCTGAATTTATCTGAATTAACAAAAGATATTTTCTCTGCTGAGTGTCCCAGATGTCCTGATACCACTTTAAATACTGTTGTGAGATTATAAAATTTGTTGTGAATTTTGCCTCTCTTTGCAGTTCTGTAATATTCCTAAAAAATAAAATGCCGGTATATTTTAGCATATAATAAAGACCAATTTAAATACCTAATAATAATAATTGCATATTACCAATTTCTCAGACGGAAACCTTTCCAGAATTAGTTGTTCTAATTGGTAACTGGCCGCTAGAGACATCTTAACACCTTTGTCTTCATAATAATGAGCAATTAATGAAATGAAAACAGATTTTTGATCATCATGAAAACCTAAAAACTTATTATAATAATCGACAAGGCCCTTTCCTCTTGATGTTTCATTGAGAACGTCAGATAGCATCATCCCGATACAAGAGTTTTCAGGAGTAGGCGTAGATCTATGATATGGCATAAATCTTGTAGGTGTTTTAGTGTTCGATTCATGAGAAGAAGAAACGGAACTAGACGATGTGCTTCGAAAATTTTTATGAACTTGACTCAGGTTAGTGAAACTAAAAAGTAACTGAAAGTCATCATTTCCCTAGCTGACATTTTTTATTTTTTTTTTTTTAAAGATGATGAGATTCAATTTTTGGCGAAATATTCTCAATTTTTTTTGGTCCATAATCAAACAATTGCTTTCGAGAATTTAAAGTATCCAAATCAGAATATTTCATTTTAGTTATAAAGTGATTAATTATATGAATGGTGTTATAATGACAAAATCCCTCAAAAAGATCATGCATGATATCAGCATAGTAATTTTTCACAACGTGGAAGGATGGTATATTATTTAGTGAGGATTCTTCAACTACTCCTTTAGTTAGAGTTAAGGTCGGTAGCATCAATTTGACAGTTTTCAACTGTGCGCATTATTTCTGAAATTTCACAACTTAATTGTTGTGTATTTAATTTCGGAGCTCTGCAAAGTCTACAAAAATAATTACTAGAGACGGATTTGCTAAAGTTGAGAAAACATTTTAATCCTAGATTGTCACCTACAACCAAACCTAAGATAAAATGTATTTTTATCATCGCATTATTGCCATCATCAATATCTACGCCATTAATTTCTAAATTTTTCAACTTATCTATGAGGCATTCAAAACATGTTTCGTTGCCAAATTGTTTTAAATCTGAGGACTTCGTTGTAGCAGCATAAAAAATATTTTCTAATTTGGATTCGTCCATTGGCAAACACGGAAAAGAGTAATATAAGTTACAGATAGAATGTTTTAAAGAATTAGACCCAAGTGGGTTGTTTATTTCGAAATCATCCACGAACAGAATATAAGGTATTACATTTTTTCCCGGGTATAATTTTTTTCTCTCCACAGTTTACCTTGTACAAAATTAAATAGTTTAACATTATTTTGTTCCAAAAATGTCATGTAATTAATAGTAGAATTGATTAATTGATTTATTTCAAAAAATGATTTAAATTGGAATTGTAATGGCATTAAAATACCCTTGGATTTTTTTGTGTTTTCTAGTATTCCAGCTCGATGAGCTGGTACTAATTGGTTATTGATTGTCACCTCTTTAAAATTAGTTACATAACCTTCATTTTTTAAGAAATTATAGAGTTTATAATCTGAGTCAAATAATTTAATTTAAATTAAATAATTTAAATTTGAAACTTAAATAGAAAAGTCTTTATATAAAGAGGGTAGTAGGTATTGAAAACTGGATTTTGCTAAATTCATGACAGTATCTAATAATGGCTTTACTATATATTGGTTTACTTGAACTTCTAACACATCTTTTCTAGTAAAATTATTGTTATTGTGGAGAAAAAGAGAAAATGTTATCGCCATGTTGATATTTGTTTTTAAATGTTTATCGAAATTGAATTTTTCGTGTGCAGTATCCATTGTTTCATTTATAGGAGCATCAGCATATGCATAATTGGATATGAACTCATTAGATACGTTACAAGTAGTTGTTAATGTAGGAATATTACCATCCATAGACAAAGAACTAGTTTTATTCATAGAATCGTGCAAATTAATATTGTCATTATTTGAATCACTGTTGTTGTTGTTGCTTGCATTGAGCGGGAGATGCTGAAGGCACAGTCCGCTGACCAAGATTCCGTATACTTTAGCCGAGTCCATAACAGGTTACCGACTCGTTACCAGGGTGCACTGCGAGGAAGCGTATACGGGGCGCACCCCATAAAATGTCCCCATTTTATTTTTTATGTTTTATATTTTATTTTATTATTTTGTTCTATTTTTACAAAGTTTATTTGTTAATAATTTTATTGTGTTGTAATGCTTGTCTATAATACCATACGATAATAATAATAATTTGAATCACTCTGAGTATTTAGTTGTTGCCGTTGTACGTGTCTTTTAAATCTGGACCATAGTGTAAACATTTGATCACAATCATAGCATCTAACAAGAGATTTACTATTCAAATTATGAGAGTGTTTAAAATGTAAGATAAATTTATCAAGATCATTATGAGAAGACTTACAAATGAAACATAACTTTTTTCTGTTTTATATAGGTAACTAATATAAATAAGGACCGGTGTATGTTTAATGGCAGCTAAAAAAAATTATTTTGTATTAATTTAATAATTGTATGTACAAAACTGAGGCGCATATTATATAATATAGCGCCAGAACAGATTAAATACCTAAGTGTATTTTGTATTTTTGTTATTATGCATGTGTTATACACCCATTACAAAAAAGATAGAGAATAATATTTTTGAGGGAATGACGTATTGATTTTTCTAAATATTGTCTCAAAACAATTTAAAAATTATTTACATTTACAACATCGTATCGCGTTGCACTTTCGACCAACGCATCGCCAGCAGTAAGTGGTACTCTAGTAGTGTTGTCGGCTATCAGCCGCCGCTGGGAAAGTTGCCGTTTATGCCGCCGTAGCGGCTAGCAGTGGTTCCGCGTTCGCGTGCAAAGGTGTGTGTCTGGACAATGGTCCGTAGTCCGTCGTTTTGTTTTTACACCTTGCCGCGAACTGTTTTGCACTAAGTTTGCATACCGTCGGTGTTGTCCGTCCGTCTATACGAAGTGCGACCCGTCGCGCACGACCGCGTGTTTCGCGTCCGTTCGCCCGCCTGTCTCTGTTTTACACAGTGCGAACACGCCGACCACGGCGTACTCTAACACAGTCGTTTGTTGTCGTTTTGTGCCGTGTTCACGCCGGCGACAACAACCTCTTGCCCCGAGGCTTTATCGCCATC